TCCCTTTTTTTTTTGGTACTGGGGATCGAACTTGGGTCCTTCTGCTTGTGAGGCAGGTGGCGGAACCATTGAGCTAAATCCCCAGCCCACCCGTGTTCCTTTTAACCATCTGTGATTTTTTTTTTTTTTGTACCAGGAATCAAATCCAGGGCCTTGCACTTGCCAGGCAGAAGCTGTGCCACTGAGCTGTATCCCGGATCCTAGCTCTTTCTATTTTTCCGGGTTTTTTTGTTTGTTTGTTTGTTTGTTTTTGGTACCAGGGATCGAACTCGGGTCCTTGCTCTCGCGCAGCAGGCGGCAAAACCACTGAGCTAAATCCCTGGCTAGAATAGGTAGAACTCTTGAAGACACAGATGTAGGCAGACTTTATGAACAAAACACGGATCATACAGGAAATATTACAAAGACTTAACAACTGAGGCCTCATCTTATTAAACAGCTTTTGCATAGCAACAGAAACCACCAACAGAGTGAAGAGACAACTCACAGAGTGGTAAAAAAAAAAAATTTGCCAGCTGTTCTTCAGACAAAGGACTGATATCTAAAATACATAAAGAACTCAAAAAATCAGACTGCCCAAATTTAAAGAGCCAATCCAAAAATGGGCATCTGAAATAAATAGACACTTCTCAGATGAAGAAGTACAAATAGCAAATACATATATGAAAAAATGCTCAACATCACTGGTCATCCAGGAGATGCAAATTAAAACAACACTAAGATTCCGTCTCATGCCAGAGAGAATGACTATTATCAAGAAATCAACCAATAACAAATGCTGACAGTGCTATGGGGGAAAAGGAACCCTTCTCCACTTTTGGTGGGAGTGTAGACTGGTGCAACCACTGTGGAAATCCATGTGGAGCTTCCTCAAAACTAAAACTAGAGATTCCATTTGACCCAGATATTCCCCTTCTGGGCATCGTCTTGAAAGATTTAAAAGCATCATACCCCAGCGATATATGAACACTCATGTTTATGGCAGCACAGTGTATAATAGCTAAATCTTGGAAACAGCCCAAATTCCCATCAATAAGTGAATGGATAAAGATGTTAGGGTTTTTTATACAATGGGGAATTACTCTGCCATAAAGGATAAACTTGAGACATTTCTAGCTAAATGGATGCACCTTGAGACCATACTCTTCAGTGAATTGAATCAGACACACATGCTTAAATATTACATTGTTTCTCTGGTGTGAGAAACTGAAAGGGTATATAAGAACCAAAATGTATAATAGATATTGGGAAATAGGGAGAAAATGTTCAAATGGGAAGGGGAACAGGGGGGCAGGAGGAAGGAAGGGAAAAGAAAAAGAAGAATATAAAGAAAAATAGAAACAAACTTTTGTAAGTAAGGAGGGAAAGGTTTGAAGGGATGGGAGGGGATTGAAGGAAAAAAGAAGAATCAAGATATATTATGTATAGGTACAAATTTCCTATGATGAATGTAATGATTATGTATGTCTAAAATGTACATTTTAATATTTAAAAACACATTCCTGGGCAGACCTTGTTATCAGGCTTTTGAGGCTATGAACTGAAGTTACCTTTGGGATTTGTAAATTAGTAATGAACATGTTTAGAACTCCAAATTTTTATTTGGAAGAAAATGAGTAAAAATTGTTTTGTATGATATTTTTGTCTCTGTAAGTCTCTCAAATACAATCTGGTGGTTATTATTTGACCATTTACCTAATACTCAGGCTTGAATTTTGCTAGCTTCCCTGCAATAGAGAGAACTAATATATTTTTAATCTTAGTTTTTCATTATTATTCTTTTACATTATAAAATAATCTTCTGACAGACAATCTTTATTAAAGAAAAATAAAAACAGATATTTTGTTTGATATTTTTGTTTGATATTTTGTTCTGGGATTGAACCCAGAACCACTGCACTGAGCTACATCCTTAGCCCTTTTTTGTTTTTTACTTTGAGACTGAATTTTCCTAAATTACTGAGTTGCCCAGGCTGGGTTTAAGCTTGCAATCTTCCTACCTCAGCCTCCCACAGTACTGGAATTATGGACATGCACCACTATGGCTGGCTTAGAAGCATATTTTTAAGAACCTAAATAGTAAATATCACTTCATATATAATGGCTCATCCTAAAAATAGAATCCATACTATGAGGACCTGTAATTAGTATATAAAAAATAAGAATTATTTAATTAACATTTAATTAATATACTAGTTAGTATATTAACAACAACCATAATAATAATGATAACAATCTTGTTTTGAATGTGTTCCAGGGAACTTTTTAGGGGCATTACTTATTCAATCTCATTTAATGTTCAGAGAGATGTAATGATTAAATGTACAACAGAAGCTTTGCTTGCCAAAAATGAGATGACATTTCTGCATTTAATTGTGAAATTTAAGGATGAACTTAATATGGCAAACCTACAATCTGTTGCTTGAATAAAAGAAAGTATATAAAATTATGGAAAATGTTTATATGGAACAATGAATCAAATATTGCTTATTTGTGGTAGGAAAAGTTTCTGGGGCCAATGATTGTTTTGTGGCTAACTTCACAGGGATGGTGAAAACAAATGGCTCATTCATCTTCCTCTGACCCACTGTCGGTGGTACTCATGTGAGGGAAATGGCCCATTTGAATGGTTTCTGTGTGAATGGCATAGGGGAATGGAAAATATTTCTTTCTGTGCTACCAGAATAACTTATTTTGGTGGGGTTTGATTTACCTCTTTTCCTCAATAGTAAAAAAAAAATTTAAATGATATGCCCTGAAAGACCAGTAGGCTGTACGTGCCTTGAGTAAATCCTTTTTCACAGTCCTCCAAATATTTTCATCCAATACTGTGCAAACACCTTGCATATTAATTGTCTGATTTGACCCATGCCATGCTTCTGTGTGGGAGATATAGTAACAACATCTAGGGCCCACAAGTGAGGAAGGGCCCAAAGCATGGGGTATAGGCAAACTGCCCAACATCTCATACCTAGGAAGTGTTGAGATTCAGAATCATATATTCCTGTCTTCAAAGTCTCTCTCTCAAGTGGTGTGTCTTCCTGTCATTTCCTTTTTTTCTCCTGCTGGTGAATATCACCCTAAAACCCTATTCTGTGTCCCTTGGGTAGGTTGAGGTGACAACTACTAAATGAGAGCTAAATGGCCATAGTTGAAAAACATTTGTTATCCCTGCCACTGTTGTATGGGACTCAGAAAATAGTTGCAGGCTTGCAGCACACCTTCACCAAGAACATGCAGATTTACCAAGCTGCAGGGGTGAGTGTCCAAAGGGGCAAGTGAGTTGAAGATAGAGGATCCAAAGTTCTACAGGGTTACTTGATGAATAAGACCAAAGACATAAATTCTTTTCCTCTCCCTAACCAAGAAAGAAATTGGGTTGGTGAGGTAGCTCATAGGTGGAATGGTTGAGTAGCATGTGCAAGGCCCTGTGTTTGGTCTTTAACATGACAGAGAGAGAGAGCGAGCGAGGTGGGGTGAGTGGGGAAAGAGACAGAGACAGGAATTTAAAAATGTTACTTTCTGTATAGTTGGAAAGAGAAGCATCTTACTGTTATAATCCTTAGCTGTAAATAACCAAATCAATAGCATACCAGCTACTAATGGGACTTTCTCTAGCCTTCAGAGATGGAAAGAAGCCAGTGGTAGTAGCAGTACTGGTAAAGGTCCTGCAAAAAGACAGCTGTGGAGTTCAGTATAAAGAGCTGGGATCAGATTCAGAGTTCCACTTCTGGATAGACCAGTGAACTTTTGTTGCCCTAAGTCAACTGAGAGCAAAAGCAAGTGAGAACCAATGAGCAAATGACAGCCAAAGGCAGCAGAGAGGCACTGGGACGAGAAAGAAAGAAGCCAGTAAAAGAGATACTGCAGAAAATGTATCTTCAGGAATTAGCACCCAACAAACAGTCTGGCCCAGGCTGTGACCTGAATTCTTTTTCCTTCAGGCAGGATTAATGGATGCATCTTCTGAAGGGCAGAGTGAGTTCTGGAAGATGCAATCCTTGAGCTGCAGCATGAGCCACCAACTGACATATAGGAGTTCTCCAAAAATCTCTGGATTTACAGTTTGCCACCTAGCAATTTGCTGTCCAAAATGAAGTACTGATTTGGGTATTTTTCACCATAGGAATGAAAACTTTGCAAACAAACATGGTAAACTGGGAATCAATTTTCAGATGCATTAGTAACTCCATTTTTTTGTATCCAGAAAGGATTGATATTTATGGATGCCTGGTCTCTGCTCTCTTGTCCTCGCATCTTAGCATGTGGCTAAAATTTCAAGAGTAATGAGCCAGCAGCCTGGAAGATTTAGTCACAGCCCAGAAAAGCACATTCCTCACCCCAAGAAGTCTGGGTTCTCATTGTGAAGCACACTCCATGTAGGGGCAGTAAAGTGTGGTTTCCTCATTAGGATTTAGAGAAAAGAATATGAGGTTTGAGTATTGTTCAGTATTGTCAAATCACATGTGACAAGATAGTTGAAGAACTATAATTTGCCTGCCACATAATGGGCCTTAATAAAAGTTGCCTGAATGGAAGCAAAGGTAAATAGCTCAACAGCTTCTATCTTCAGGGAGAAAGTCAAGAAAGGTTGTCTAGCACAGGTGCCGACAAACTTTTTCTCTAAAGGATCAACAATAAGTATTTCCAGTGATATAGGCAATACCTTCAGTGTCACAACCATTCAACTTAGCAGATTCTAATGTATGAAGCATATCACTAAACTAAGCTGCATCTCTAGAAACTGAAAAAGCAGAATGCTGGGGAAATGACCCATTTAAAAATCTTAACCTTTGCAGGCTATTTGCTAACCTTTACATAAAAGGAAATCTACATTTATAGGGAAAACATCTGTAATGATGTTATGAACTAAGAAGTAAAAGTCTGGGCTCAAGGTTGTTCAAAAGATTCCTGAAGTTAAAGGAATTATTGAATTTTTTTTTTTTAACTCTACTAGTCAAAGGTTCAGTCTTGAGGCCTCAAATCTTTGTCTTTTTTTTCTCTTTTTCTTCCCAGGGAACAAATTTTGGTGGCTTATGACCCTGAGTAATATGTCCTACAGACCATAACACTTCCTTTATCAACTAATTTTTTAAATGAGCTATTGGAAAATATATGTGGGATGGATAATAATGATAAATATTCTGGGCAAAATGTTAAAGTTGAATATGGACTCAATAGAAACAAAGAGTCTCTGATTAAGAATCAATAGAGGCTATAGGTGAATGTGGATGAGAAAGTAGAATTGTATCAGAGAAAGAAAATAAACTAATGGCAAATAGTTGCATTTATGTAAACAAGTGAGATCAAAACTGCAGAATAAAAGGAAGGTAGACTCAGGTAAGTCTACAAACTGGAGAGAATAGATTTTAGAAGTCACAATTTCTTTTTTTTTTTTTAGGTACCAGGGATTGAACTCAGGTCCTTGTGCTTGCACAGCAGGCAGCGAAACCACTGAGCTAAATCCCTGGCCCCCAAAAGTCACAATTTCTTTATCATTATTCCCTGGAAAAATCTGAGAAGTATTAAATTTTCCTTTACACACTGTGCTACATAGATAACCATATGACTTATGATTTCTGACTTATGGCATTTTTTTTCCTTTCTTCCATTATTACACTAGCTAAACTCTCCACTATTATATTCAATTGAAGTGGTAAAAGTAGCTGTATTCTCCATCTTAGGAGAAAAGAATTCAGTTCTTCATGTTTAAGTGTGATGTTAGCTGTGGGTGGGCTTTCCATAGATGCCCTTTATCAGATTGAAGAAATCTTCTATTCCTAAATTCCTGAGTTTTCATCATGATTGAATTTTGAACTTTTGTGTAGATTTTTAATCTACTCAAATGATCATATGATTTTTCTCTGATTATTCTGTTAGTGAATTAGAGTAGTCAAAATGTGGAGCCAATCTTGCAGTCCTGGAGTAAATTCCATTGGGTTGTTATGACTGTGGTAGACATGAAGGTGTAACACCCTATCTCCATTCAAAGACTTCTCACCTAAGACTGATCCTAAAGGAGATGACAACTGGATACCATCTGTTGACCTTACTCACTATAGTTGAACTGTAAGCACTTCCTTGACCCAACAGATGGACAACAGAATACAGAACAGGTGCAGCAAATTTTGGTTAGAGATGAAAAGGCATCAAGAAAAGGGGAAAGAGTGAATTCTGCATTCTCTACATCTGCCTACCAGCCCCCTCTTCAGCATCCACTAACTAAATTGCAGAAGTATTGACATACCATTCTTCGAAAGCTACGCTGGATGAGTTATTATTGCAAGGTTAGTTTTATGAACACAGGGGCAATAGATGCCAGTTTGTGATGCAGATGGCTCTGGAAAATGTTTATATGATTGCTAAGATAAAATATAGTAATCCTCTGTTTCTCCCCAAAAGACAATGTACATTTTCCTAGTAAGAATTAATGTTTGATTGCATTTAAAGCTAATGGCTTTCAAGAGTGATCATAGCAACTTTACTTGTTCTTTCATCTGCTTTGTTGACAATTAATACTTTTTTCTGTTTTCATTTAAGCAACTTTCAAGGAATTATTTGCATATTAATTTATTTATACCTGTTTTCTTCCCAAAAGAATCTGAGAGAAGATGGTCCTTTTTAGGTTCAGATTGTTTATGCCAATATGAGAAATTATACACTGCCTAATCTTACAGTTAGTAAGAATAAACAGAATAGTTGGGTACAGCTATTTCTTGTTTTTCATGACTTAGGGATCTATAATATTGTTCTCATTATTTGATTTGAAGAGCAGCAAATTCCTAGAATTTCAGATCTGACCAAATAAGGATCATTGGTAAACATTAGTATGACTAACAAGGATGCTCAGTTGCTAATTGTGCTGATTAAATATGTTTCTTGTGTCAATTCTATATACCAGAACATTGTTTTTTTTGGTTTTTTTTTGGTACCAGGGATCAAACTTGGGACCTTGCGCTTGTGAAGCAGGCGCTGGAACCACTGAGCTAAATCCCCAGCCCTATACCAGAACATTGATACATGCAAGTCTTTAAGAAAATTATAACAGTACTTGTGAAAAAATTATAAATTTGAAAACCAAGTAATCACAGTCTCAAAGGTCTGATCAGGAATGGAAAGTATTCTGAAATTATGGAAAATATCTATTTTTATTATACTTATTCAATAATTTATATTTAATCAGGACTCATATTAAGAAGTAAGACTGTAATATTGTGCTAATATAGTGGGCTGGGCTTAGAAAAGTGAAAAATTATTTACCAATGCTTTTAGAGACATTTGATGTTTTGATTTTGGAATGAGTTATATTTTTCAGTTCCAGTTTTACAAAGAAATTTTAAAACTAGTAAAGGAGAAACTGAAGTATAAATTTAACAAAGTTATAAGATAACTAATTCTTATAGTTTTGACAAGACCAAAAGGAAATAAATTTGGGTTACCTGTTCCCACTCCATTCCTGCTGGGTATCCCACTAGGTTTGGGTCTAACAGGCTTTGTAGTTGTCCTGTTCAGAACTAAAAAAAATGGGAAATAAATAGTTTAAATTTTTTTTTGTTAAAAGTTTGCTACGAAGGAAAACAAATTTCAAATTGGAAGTAATTTAACTAGCAATAGGAAAATTATGTTTTACTAAAGAGCATCATTGGGAATATAGAACTATATTCTGGTATAAAAATTACAGACTTGAGTCTGAAAGTAGAGATCTAAATTTTTACTGAGATGGTCACTGGGATTCAATGTTTGACTTGAAAAAATAACTGGAAAGGAAACTTATAAATCTAAATGGGAATTATTTACCTTACTTCATTTATAAGCATTAGATACATTCCAAAACAGAGCTGAAGAAAGGTCAGTACTATATATGTCCAATAAAAAATCAAAATCTGAAGTGTTTTTATTGTCACGGTCTCAATTTATAACTCATGAGTTGATGGTCCTTTTGTAGGAGTCTCTAGGGACAGATGTTTTATTCTAATAGTCCTTGCAGACATCCACTTTGAACACTGTGATGAAAACATCTAAATATCTCTCCTTCTCTGTAGAATGTCATACACTTCCAAAACTTTAAGAGGTCACCTATGTCATAGTCACTTAGAAGTATCTTTAAGGACGTGCATGGAGCACAGTTTGTGTAAGTTCTGGAGCCAATCTGCTTGCCTTTTCAGTTTGCTCTCAGTATCTCACTTTCCTCAACTGTATCTGAGAGACCAGATGGCAAACACTCAGCCATTGTCAACCATTATCTTTACTGTTTCCTTATTTTGTAGAAATGATGAACCAGTCACATATTGAACTCTCAACAGCTACTTTGAGGCAAAAGTCATATGGAAAGATGTTTGTTTATATAGGATATCTATGCCTGATTACCATTAGGAGTTGGAGGATTACATTTGGATACTCTATACAACAAAGAACCTAAAAATTATTTGTTTTTTCCCTCACATACCTGGAGGGATACTTGGATCATTCCTTTATAAGTGAATTTGATGATTTAAAACTTTAGGAAGGCTCTTTAGAATCACAAAGAAAAAGGATGGAAAACATCTTTGGTTCAATTTGTACTTTAGCATAGAAGCTGTTTGAATGGGCTGAATCAACTTCTCCAAATTAACTCCTCCAAGTTAACTTTCTCTTAAAAAATGTTTATGGAGGAAAATCCCAGGATCTTTAGAGAATTTAGTAAGTTTAAAATATTTCACAATATATAGCTGTGACTTTATTTTGACTGTTTACAATTTATAATTTTTTATCCTTTGAAGGAATAAAATAAACATGTTCTCCTTTTAAAAAGCCTTTTTTATACTGAGAAGGGACAATGGTTTCTGATGAAAGAAATAATATTTGAAATTGTCATGAAAAGTTGAAGGTATGTGGTTCCACCAGTCCCAGCCAAGAGAAAGGGGCTTCCAGACCACCCTTTGGCCGCTCCCAGCACAGAGGAGGTGAGCCATGCAGGTACCAACAGCAGCCTCACATCAAAATGAGAAGACATGTAAACAAGTATCAAAACAAGACTTCCAGATCACCTACAGCAACCCCAAAGGGAAATGAGATGGAACACTCTGATACTCAACCACCTGGACTCCCTGAACTGGCA